GATGCAGACAAAAGAAAAAAGCACATGAAGGGTTACATCTTCCCACAGATCCGTGCTCCTGAATACAACTCTTATTTGAGCAGCCATGAATTATTTTCCGTCATACTCAATATTTTCATCAGATAAGCATCTGACATTTTGCACATGTTTTACGGGTTTTCTCAGATTTTTATCAACAGTCGGTGATTCATTAGGAAAAAAACAATCTTGTTTTTCATTTACAAAAAATCAGACTACTAAGGGTTGTAAAGGGCTTTACAGTCAATCCTGAAATTTAGCTTTGATTAGTCATGTTTGACTGATTTGTTCCTAAATTGAGCTATTCTTAGACACAGTCGTTCACAGAGTGGCCTTTGAGTACCTCTCAAAGACTCTGCCTCCTTTAAAAAAAAATTTTTTTATACACAGTCGTGTTACTAATTTACCAGATTAGATGGTTGATATTGCATGTGCTTTCAGTTATGCCAAACATCTTAACAATAACTTTTTTTTAACTTACTTTTATTCATCCATAAAATATATTACCAAATGTAAATAAGTGCAAAGTGTACAGTCAGAAAACTTATTTGAACCCCTGCTGATTTTGTAAGTTTGCCCACTAACAAAAGAAAGTTCAGTCTATAATTTCAATGGTAGGTTTATTGAACAGTGAGACAAAGAACAAAAACAAAAAAATCCATAAAAATGCATTTCAAAAAAGTTATAAATGAATTTTTTATTTCCATGAAGGAAATAAGCATTTGCTCCCCTATCAATGAGGAAGATTTCTGGCTCCCAGGTGTATTTTATACAGGTAACGAGCTGGGAGCCTTCTTAACTTGTTACCTGTGTAAAAGACAACGGTGCATAGAAGAAACAAATTTCTCCAGATTTAAAACTGTACCATGGCCAAGACCAAAGAGCTTTCCAAGGATGTCCGGGACAAGATTGTGCACAAGGCTGGAATGGGCTAGAAGACCATCGCCAAGCAGCTGGGTGAGATAGTGACAACAGTTGGTGTGATTAATGGCAAATGGAAGAACCATAGAATAACTGCCAAGCTTCCTAGGTCTGGAGCTCCACGCAAAATCTCACCTCATGGAGTTTCAATGATAATGAGAACAGTGTGAAACCAGAAGGAGAACAACTCGGGAGGAACTTGTGAGTGATGTAAAGGCAGCTGAGACTGAAGTCACCTAGAAAAGAGTTGGTAAAGCAGTTGGTAACTGCAGTGCCTGCAAGGTCCCTCTGCTCAAGAAAGCATTTGTTTTATTGAAAAATCTTTGAAAACAATAAAAAAAGCAGATCATGATAGCTGAGGGTTTGACTCATAACCGATGATAAATTATAAACTATTGCAGATGCAGAAGATGCCACACATGAGTAGTCATTCCTGCTGCACTTATTTGAAGTCCACAAAATCCGATGATGAATTTTACAGCACTGAGACCCAAGTGGACCCAAATGAAAACTATAGCACCTGTTTAAGGCTACGTTCACACTGCAGGCGAAAGCGCATCAAATCAGTGTTTTGTTTTTTTTTTGACCCTATGCGACCTATATCCGATCATGGTATGACAGTGTGAACGGCACAAATCCAATATTTTCAAGTCCGAAGTCTTTATATTAAGGGCCATCAGTCAAACAATGTTGTGTGTTCTGGGTCTAAACAGAGCGCGTTGTGTGTGACGTCTTCTTTTGTGCATGCGGGCCGCTTTGAGCGTTCACACTAGAGCGCGTTTGCTGTCGCATTTTATTTGTAGTGT